TATATATATATATATTCATTTATTTATTTATATACATTTAAATATGAAAAAATAAGTTAAATGAACAAAAATTTGCAGTGTATATCAGTATGTCTATCAAATGTATTAGCCAAGCAAATTGATCATCAACGTTACTTGTTGAAACGTGAAGCGAGGCGTTGTGAACGAAGACGGCGCCGTCGAGAGCGTAATCGATTCCGGGATCCATTCGACCGATTTGAACGTATCACTGATAATCGAACCCCTTTACCTCCAGCCTCCGCACCACCCAAAGCCCCACCACCTCAAGTTCAAGCTAAAGCCTCAGGCCTATTACCATCATCAGTGATACCAGCGAATGCTCGAAAAGAGAGCGTCCTATCAAATCAAATAGATAGGAAATCGTCTAAGCATTCCGACGACATCATGCCATATGTCGTGCAACAGCAACAATTTCAATCGGTTCGTTCTTCGCTTGTTCCTCCATATTTCACCGTTCTGATGCTAATGCTAACCATTAATGTTTATTGTTTAAGAAGTCAAATCGTCAGAATGTAAATAACGATTTGATGGAAAAAAGACAATTGAGAAGTCACCAACTGAGAAATAATACGAATCGTAATTTAAATAATACTGATAACAACACTGACGATTTCGGTAATATGAAACCATCTAAGGCGAATGCTTCAAAGCCATCTTCGAAACGTGAGTCTATTGTTAATTTGATCTGGTTTTTAACTTGTAATTGTTCATTATTTATTGTTTCTACCTTATCATGATTATTATTGTTATCACTACTATTGCTGTTGTTATTATTTGAAACACTATGATGGGTTCTTTTGAATGCGAGACTGTTTGAAATATGAAATTTTTGTTTTTGGATGAAATCTTGATGACGTCGCAATTTTAAACAATAACATTTATCGCAAACTGCGTTGTTAGATGAATAAATGTTGTTCATAGTTTAGTGTAGATATCGGTGGACTGCACGTTTACTGATCAGTAGATCATTCGTTTTGTCATTAATTGTTTTAATGACCGGCAGTAACACAACATCGTTTTTCTGCATTATCATATTGATTCCGTGACCTCCTGACCTCTTAAACTCTCCTTTTCAGAAAATCAGGACTTTGCAAGAGCATTTTTGATTTTTCGCTGCATCTTTTTCTAAAGCAACGTGTTCCGATATTGTTAAATTAATTCAGTATTATAAGTCTGCCAGAGTTTCATTCATTACACTGACGTTATCACTATTTTTAGTTGAATGTCGGTTAAAAGAGAACGAATATAAAATAATTTTTGAAGTGATTATAAAATGCTTCCAGCTTTAATTCATTCATTATTAACTGGTCATTAGCCACTATTCGAATGGGAGAGTAACTGAAGAGAAGCAATATTTTATTGGCATTACTGTATAAATAATTATGTACAAAGGAGGATTTAAGAAACAGTCAAATGAATAAATGCATGAATGAATAAACGCAAATAAAACCACATTATCAAACTGCATAATTGAAACGGTTGTGATGAATGAAGTTTATTGAGAATAGAACAGAACTGAATAGAATTATTATTTTTGGTAATACACATTCATGAAACAGAATTCATGAGAGAAATCTCACTTAAAGGTTTTGTTTGTGCTTAAGCTTGAGTAGTTTGGAGGTTGATTTCAAAAACAAAAAGACTGATCACGTAGCACAAGAGGCATTGATGGATTTTACACGTAGCACTCTATTACTCACATCAGTTAGCTAAATTTCGTAGGGATTTCCTTGCCCTATCATGAGATCCTCATAGATGTGATTATATCGAACTGCTTCTAATCTTCTATGAACCTATCCGTCTATCAGTTCGTAAGTGGCTTTCAACAGCTATCTTCCAATGTGTATTGGTCTATCTTCAATTTCAAATTCTGCAGTTGCTGCACGTGAACCTTTTTGCTTATGTGAACTTATTGCGAACGTTATTGATGCCAACGCATAAACAATCACACAAATCCACGCCATATATGTGCTACGCCCATTTCGTTGACCTATCGAATAGTCCCAACCGACAATCTGAAATCTCTTTCGTCAACTCTTTAATCTTCGAGAAGTTATGTCAATTTGAAGCTGAACAAAAGATCAACTTAAAATAAGAAATAGTTTACGATCAGGCTTACCCTTGATTGTTCAGCCACTGATATATTCCATTCGTTAACACTGTTCGTGAGCACTTCAACCATGACAACAACGCACATCGCTGAAGAGATGTTTAGTAGCACTAGATGTTTTGAATGATCGTGATAGTGAACAGACTTGTTGTTAAAGTGCTCACCGGTAAGTGCATGCAAGCAAGCAACTAATCGTTTGTACATATATCGATGATGATAGAACGTGTAGATGGCCAACGAATTATTCGAAAGCATCAGCAGTAGTGAAATGATGCCGAATGCTATTTGAGCGCGATAGTAATCTGAAATATTGAAAATAGAGGTTATCTCTATCGCAACTAGCTTCGCTAATGACTTGATTTAGCGAAAGTGGGACTTACGTTTCAAATCTGTATCAGCTAATCGCAGAACACTAGCTGGAGGTGATGGAAAATGAGGTATCCACTCTACTGAAAAAAAATTGATCATGTCATTTCGTCAAATAAGATTAGTTTACTTCAATACTGAGTTTTTGCGCAGTCACGTTTTGTAGTGGGCACCGAATTTGTAACTTATATCGTTCTAATAGACTCTTATCAAGTAGGTCGCTTATAATCAGTAAGTTAGTTTTGTGTAAGTTAGTTTTTGAAGCTGTTCACCTGATTTAAGCGAATTGTTTATAATTGTCCGCCACTCGCCCCAAACACCCAATTGAACTTGTACAGCCTCATGCTGTGAATTCGTAAAATTTATAATTGCCCAATCAGGTAACACCAACGCAGCAATAAATATGAATATTGCAATCTGAAAAGCATGTGACTTCAGCACTATTCAACGAACGTTTGTAAAGTACTGAATTTCGTCGTACATAAAGTAAGGCGATCAGCCGACAATTGTTGCAGCTCAGTCAAAGTATGTCAGCAATAATGGTGGTCTTTCGATAAAGTAACTTTTCGATTGATCAGTTAGAATGAGTGCGATGAAGTTAAACTAAGAAACTACACACAATGGTGAGCACGGTCACCAGCGCCATAAAACGTCGCTGCCAAACGATTGCATGATACCTGAAACATGAAAAAATTACATAAATATATGAATGGATGGTTGGGTGGTTAAGTGTTGGTGGAAAAGAAATGGAATGGTGAAGGCGATGAATATGTGGAAGGGATCGAAATGTGGTGAGGATCGGATTAATATAGCGAAAGGAATAGATCCATTTATTAGCTCTTTCGGCTGGGCTGACTAGTTGGCTGATTGACTGTATTGCTTGACTTCATTTGCCTTTCAACAGTCATTAGAAAACGGATATAATTTAACGCCAAAAGGTAGTTGTGCAAAAGCAGCTAGTCTACTTGGCACGTAACAGTAAACAGACAAGTGCAGCGTTTTTATCGATGGTACTTTCTTTTTTTGTATCGCATTATATTTTTAATCCTGCAACAGATGACTCAGCTTAGAGTTTGTTCAGCTCAGGCTTAACCAACGAGATTCGTTCGAGTGTATAGCCATTGTTAAGCTGATGGCTTATAACCATTGCTTATCTGGAAAGCTTATGGTCGTAAGCTCTTGCAATCAAATTGCACCATCTGCCATTGTTATTAACGATCGTAAATTGAGCAGCGTTAGCAAACAGACCAAAGGAGAGCAAACGAAATTTAAATTTAATCAGTGATGTAATTCTATCATTATCAGTTGCCATATAAACCCCCTTGTGTATGTTATATCAAATAACCATTGAATTTGAATCGACGCATTAAGAGTATATTGGCTATGTATATATCACATTATACGATTCAAATTGCTTGCGCAAATTACTGGACGATGAGTACAAATGAAGAATTATCTACCCTGGAAGGCATCTGAAGCAAATCGAAAATAAAAATCTCTTTATTCATATAGCAAAATGATGGACAGCAGACGTTTGCTTACCTTCGTACGTTAAGAATCTGAGATCCTCGCATATCTACGGTTTTGTCGAGTAATTCCATGAGGCAATAATAATTATGTGAAATATATTCAAAAACTTAAGAATTGGTTGGGCAACAATTGGTTGCTGGGTCGATTAGGTTAGCTGTGAAGAATGAGTAAGCAGTCGAGTCAATTTTCTTTGTCTCGTTTTGTTTTCGTCACCCCCGATACGGGGTTTTTACTCGGTTTGAAGATGACGTTCGTTCTTCAATTTCAATAATGGATAATGTACTACTAAAGGTTTTTTGATAGGATTCTCAAGGAATGAACACTTACAATATTTATATCACTGGGTTGAGTGACTGACAAAAGCGGAGGAGACTGCAAACGAAACAGGATTTCACGACAGCAGTATGCTATCAACAGGGATAGTCTTTTTTAACTATGATGACCTTACACGTACATACGCTTGATCGTTGACTTGGTAATGATTAGATGAACAACTTAATAAGCTGGACGTTTCATTACACTTACGGATCATCAAATCGGTTCTTAATTGATAGCGATGAACTCACAAGAAATTTTTGTTGTTGGTTAAATAAATTTAAAATGAGAGTGAAGCATTAGGAGTACGACTAAACCGAAACATATAGTTACTGCATCCTAATATTCAGCTCAATACCAGCGCATATTCAATATCCATCCATATCATGAGAGATTACTAGCTTTGCCTTCATCTTGACCTATTCCCTCAAAATTCCCCTCCCCTCTCTTCACTAACCTGTCTGCTTGCCCGCCTCATTGTTCCCTCACCCTGTAATCTCTCACCCCTAATCGGTCCACTGTTTCCAAATGGTTCTCTCCTATTTCTAGTACTTCAACAATCATTAATATTAAATGAACAACCACTATTAATAACTACTTCTTTGATGCCATCACCCGACTTTTCTTCTCTTCAATTATACGTCTCTATTCATTACACCTCACCCCTCATTCACCCTCGTATTCAACCGCAAACAATCATCCATTGCCTATAACCTAAGCTATGCATACATAATTCAGTTCTTCAATTATTACGTTTTTCCTCAACTCCAAATTCATAAATTACCGTTTTTCACGCTTCTTCCAAAATTCCTCCTCTTCATCGTTCATACATAAGCGTAAGCATCCCCTCGTCCATCTCCCACGATAAATAAAAATCATCATACACCTTATTTCCATGATCCCACTAATCATGCTCACTACCATTAGGACAATGACTGATAATCATATAGTATCAATCAACCACCACCCAAAATGTCACAGCTCATGTGTCTATAATAGAACATTGTTAATGATAATTTTTAGTTAGAACTGCAACAAAATTGGATTAGTTTACGCAGCGCTGATATGAACCGCAACTAATAATAAAGATAATAATAATGATAATAATAGTAATAAATAATAATAAATAATAATAACAATAATAATAATAAATAATAATAATAAAAGAATAATAATAATAAAAGTTATAATAATATATCACTGATAATTAAAGAGTACAGCTGGTAGTAGTGTTGGTGAAATGCGGAATTCGAAAGGACCATCTTCATAGTAAAAGAAGGTGGTAAGCAGTAAGTCAGAAGTGAAACACTGTCAAGCATTTATTTTCTCTGAACAAACGAGTGAACTAACAAAAAGCATACCAAACAGTCTTAACAAGTCCACATTAACAACTACAATAAACTGTAAATTGATCTTGTTAGTTCTGTTCAACTATTGACAATGATCGATTTGTTCATATCGATCGATTACTTGCCGCTGAAAATGATGATGATGATGATGCTATCAAGGAGATAAGATCAAATCAAATAAAGTTGAATTTAGTAGATAGGTGGATGAAACACATACGAGTGTATCAATCAAACAAATCAGCTCAGTTCAGTTCGTTCAAGAAGTAATGATCACTCAACCAAACAAACGATGAGCTATGATCGCGACTTGCATCATTCATACGACTGCCAGCAGAATGCACAAAATCATATCTTTTCTTATCCTCTCATTAAGAACAAATATATTTTATTTTTAGATTCAACCGTACAATACTCTCTTTTTTAAGTAATATCCAATGACTATCAATTTACTGAGCACTGTTAATTGCTCATTGAGCTGAGCATATGTCTAGTGGAATAAGTTTCTTTTGAGCTTTCCTACGAAAAAATAACTTCAAAACAATCACTAATTTAATTAAGTAATGTTTTGTTTATTTTAGTTTGTTCCTCTTCATTTTTGCTTGTTTTTTTCATTATTTCTTGACTCATTCATACTTGGGAGAAAAATGCGAGGTTGCTCTCAGGGTGACAAATTTTTTTCGAGTATCAAAATTTCTGAGATTCTAATTCACAAAAACATGACATTTTCACCCAATTGTATTTGTAATTTATTGTATATAATGGTACAGTTGTCATTTGATTATTAGCAAATGATTTTTTGGATTGTTTGATTTGATACTTCATCGTTATAAATATTTGAACGTTTTGTACGTAATAATTTTCCGAGAAGAACGGTGAAACAAAAACTGAAAAAGTGCAGAGGGAGGAGAATATTCACGCAGATGTTTGTAGTTAAGTTTTTTAAATGAATCTTTCTCATCGCAGATGTATTATTTGCTAGATGGAACTAAGCTTGAGCGTTTGTTGAAACATTTGTCCGCTATCCAATTCATAAACTCGTCTTGTAACTTCAAGAAAATGTAAATAAAAGACCTCAGCTCTTTCAGTTTAACAAGCTGATAAATTTGATGACTGGCACCATCATTCTCACCTGAACATATACCTCTTTGATGAAATAACTATATGCATAAGTGTATTTATCATTTTGCTAGAAGAACGCTTTCGTACATAAATATAACAAAAGCATAACGTGCAAATCAAACAGAAAGTTGACTCGATTGTTTTGATGAATTACTTACGTTTGTTCCTCACTATCAAACGACTGGTAACTGCCATAGTACATTATTGTTCGGCTCGATTGCTGTAAGCGAGGATGTCTGTAACTCGAATCCAATTATACAATGCTCGTCGTCGTCCTCGTTTGCTAGTATTACGTGACGATGTTCGATGAGGAACAACCTCAGGACAATTTGAATCAGTGATATTGACTGCTGGGATGAAATGACGTCGGTTATCTACCCGATTACGGTTATTTTGAGTAATGGTTTGATTTGCTAAACCAACGGCCGTTCACGGTGATAATAATAGTAACTGTGCTAGTGATAACAATCATGATAATAATAAGAACAATAATAATCTCCTGAAAGATATGTATTTCGAGCCCAAAGGCGAAACCATTTGCATTCAAAATGCTAAACGAACAGACATATTCCTAAATAAAAGTAGAAATGAAAAAAGTAGATGCTGATTATGAACCAATTGTTTATATGTGTCCATTATCTGCCAGTTATCATCTATTTCTAAATTGATATCAGGCGAGTATAACATTGTCGCACCAACCCAGCAACCGATTAAGCCTAAGTAAAAAGCACGAACCAACTGGCTACCTTCTTCGATTCCGTTTCCTCTAAGCTCATCAACAAGAAGAAAAAGATAAAGTTGTGAGTAGTGAGCGTAATAAATTTGTGTTGATTTAGCTACTTCTTGAGTTGGCTCGAATTTACTCGACGCAGTGAAGTCTGGGATTAGGCGCAACGAAAGTTGTGTTGATTGAAATCAAAGAGATAAATGCGATAATTATTATCGTAGCTTTAAACTGATCACTCTTATTACTTGTTTGGTTCGGGCTTGAGTTTCATCTCTCGAGCTTCATCTCTCTCGAGTTGATATGCAACTGCATTAGTAACAGCAACAGCTGAGATTATTACATCTAATGAAGTATGAAGAAATGAATGAAAGCAGTCGTCGTTAAATAAACAACCAAGTTTCTATTGGTTCTATTTTGTACCGGCCTTCCTGTCAGCTTCTTTGTATTTTGGTTCGGTCATATTAAATCTTATCATATTACTCTTCTAAAAATTGAAATGGTTGTGTTTTATGTCTGCTGGCGAAGATGAAAAGCTTGAGCTCAGGTTTCCGTTTGTTATTGTCGTTGACTGGATCATAGACTTGGCTTTTTGGTGCTTCTGCAAATGCCGCAAGAGCAAATGCATTAGCAGTGTAAAGCTTAAGAGTAGCACTCGAAATCTTATTTTCACAGGTAAAACTCAATGATGAACGAGCTCTTTGAAAGAAGTGAATGCAAACCACTCAAAGAATTTATCGACAACATTAATGGAGAAATAAGTTCAAATTATTTTCATAATCATCATTACTGTAATTAGTAAAAATGATTTATAAAAGAAGTGAATTCAGAAATAAGTTAGCATTCGTGAGCAGGATGAATTTCGCGATTCGATACAGTTGATCAACGAAGTTATTCACTGTTGATGATGTAACCGCAACAGCTGAGTTCATTATTTGCTCACTGCTCTCACAGATGATCTTCTTTGCAAACCTCTGTGAAGAAGACGCACTTTCTATTCCCATCGGAAATGCAGGCCGTTGTATCTTGACTGTTCGACATCTGTAATGATTTGTTATTTTGACAGTACCAAACGTTGGAATGTTTCTAAAATGATCCAGTGTAACGTACCGTGTGCGTGTTCTGGTATGGGCATAATCAAAAGTGGTTGGTTGTGCTGACGAGTTAAAGCTGATTGCTAACGATGTACTACTATTGTCGTAGTGTTCGATACTATTATTAGAAGCGAAGTCGTCATTTAAATGCAATCTCACTGTATCTTCAAAATGATCCCGTTCGCCCATCAGCTCTGCACGATCGTTAACCAATCGATCTAGTGACAATATTACACTCGATAGAGCACTTTCGAACGATTCCGATCGCATTCTACTGTCATTTCCATCAGTTTCATTTCGATCGCCGTTAACAAGTGATGAACGAAACATTTCGTAGATTTCTGATTGACCTGGCTGTGAAGGCGACAACAGCTTAGATATGGTCGGGATTGTAGCAGAGGTATTAACTGTTCCGTTTTTGTGACTGCCACTAATCTGATGTGGTTGTCGTTGCTTATCTTCCAGACTGCTCATAGTTGTTGTTATTGTAGGAATTTGATCGTCATTATTTTCACTGTTGTTTTTATCGTCAGTGAGTAATTTTGTTGTTATTTCAGTTCTGAAGAATGCTGGTGTGCTTAACAAAGGTCGATGTGGTGGTGTAATAAGTGAGGTGGGCAGCTGAGATCGCTCCAATGGATCACATGATTGAGAATCTAAAAGAATGAATAATTCTGAGCATGAACGAAAAAGACTGTCAGCATCATTGTGTTATCATATTACATTACCATCATTGGTACAGTATTGTTATTTTGATGAATGTTTTCGTTACTAGTTTTGGTTATTATTTTCAACACTGATATTTTGCTTTGCATATATACGATAATGAAATATGTTGATAAAATGCAGTAATTATTATCGTGCAGTAATTAAACGAAATATTCCCATTTCATTTCCTGTCATGTCTCTTGCCGCAAGAAACTTATTCAAGTTGATGTCTTGTCAGTTGATTGGTAGGAATTAATTTTGTCACAGGTAAGGCAGCCGTCGTGAATGACGGAGAGCCATAGACGACTGCCAATGATAGCCGAACTTATCCGCCGAAGTACTGATGGTAACCGAGCGAAAAATTAAATACGACGAAATCGTTTTTAGCGATTTCGGACTTCCGTGTTTGTCAAGAAACGGAAGATTATTGCTACAGAAATTCGGTAGGAATTCCGAAGCATGAAGACAACGAAACAATGTTCTTTTTATATGTATACCGGGTTGATGTTCGGTTATCTTGTGGGGAAAGGGTGGGGCCAAACACCAACTGAGCGATCGATTAATTGAGGAATATCTGGTGCAGAGGTTGATTTGCATAGCTGAGTGAATGCATTATTAAATAGTCAGCAGTTCTTTTGAACAAACTGTATTCATTAAAATAAACTGATCTTCTCTTTTGTATACTGTTCAGGTATTCGGTTTTCGGCAAATCGCGCGGTTGGTATCTAGCTTGACCCGTTTCAAAAAGCAGCAGAAATTTACGCTTTCGGGTGGTTAATTGATCGAATAGATGAATCGCATCCACTCACCGGATGTAAAGAAACAACAGCATATACGATATCCATGGCCTTCGAAGCAGTGGCTTGGCGATTTGTTACTGTGAACAAGTACACAGTATCGATAGAGTTCATCGTTGAAGTGACGTTGAACACAGTGATATTCAGCGATATATTCGGATCTTTCATCGTAATAGTAATACGATGACTGAAATGAATCTCATTTTGATAATAACATTTTTTGACGTTTGAGTGGGACAATCAGTCGGCTGTAGGCACTCATGCACAGTGGCTCACCCAGCAAGAGAAATCTGCATGTTTGTAGTATCATTTTGCCGCTTAATTCAGTCACAAAACGGTTTCGAGCTGATAACCTTTTGTGTCAGTTCCAGGCGCCAAAAAATGAGTTTTTTCATAAAGGGTACTCAACGCAAAAACGGTACTGCTCGAACAAAATTTATGGTAATATTTCGCTAAGTATTGCGAAATTGATGCACCGTTTGCTTCCGAGCAAAATTTTCTCTCATTAGCTGACCTCGAACTCGTAACGTAGCTGCCTGAGTCTCTCTGGCGGTGAAAAGTTTTATCGGGCCCGAATCAGGCTATGATTTGGCTTGTGTCTGATTATCTGTTTTGGATGTGATGACAGTTGGACGGTTACGGGTTCGATGTCTGCTAGTCAGAGCAACCATCAGCACTCGAACTCCGGAGAATGTCCGTCTTCCCATCCTTTTGCTCCCCCTTTTCTGATCTCTTGCTAAGCTTATATCGTCAATTTCAAGCGCGTACCATTTGCCGTTCGCCAAATTTCTGTTTTATAAATCAGCCACAAAATTGAATCGTCCCATCCAATGCCAACTTACCCTTTCATTATACGCTTGAGGATCCTTATCGCTACCATCCTCCCTTGTCACATCTTCATAATCATCATCGAATTTCAGTTGTGCAGGTCTTACACGAATCACTTCGTCCATGTATGGTTCCTTTGAATACACCAAACAGCCAATAGCACCTGGCGCGCATTTCTGGTTGTTGCATAGCGTTTTTTTGTTTGACACCGTCGCTGTAATATATATATATATA